TCGAGAAGGTCCTCGCGTCCGCCGTTGATCTTGACGTAGACGCAGTGCAGGCAGTTCACCTCCGCAGCAACCCCGGTGATGTGCGTACGAGGAGGGAGTTGGACCGTGCCCGCCAACAAGTCCGCGATGAGGCCGCCGAGCTTGACGCCGCGCATCAGGAGGCGTAGCGGGATGCTGCAGAGGTAGGCATGCGCGGCGAGCTTCACATTAAAGCTGTCACGCATCTAGAAACCATGCCGTTAGCGATGCCGCAAGAATAATATGCATGCGTTGCTACATACCTCCTTAACGAGAACGAAACCCTTCCCGACTATGCCATCCATCGTCCCAACAAGTCGAAAAGCTTTGTTGTCGCCCCCGGCGCCTTCCCGCGCCTCAACGCCTCCAGAGACCCCCCCGAAAATGACCCCGATCATCGCCACCACGTTCCCCATATCCGTCACGTCCTCGTTGGCGGTTGGGGTCCGGTTGACATTGGCGGCCGCCGGAGGCGTCTCTGGAACGAGGATTCGAGGGGAGGAGAGGAAAACTGGGCCACGATCCTGGCATGTCGCAGGACCATGAACGTCGCGGCTGCAAGCGATGCGCCGCAGGAGGTCGCGGGTTGGTGTATCCTGTGGTGGGCAGGCCGTCAATCCTTCAGGAGCTCGATCAAGCCGCATCAAACAAAGGACGATGGAGGCGGGGCATACCTCCTCGAGCTTTCTCTTCTGCGGCTGTTGAAGGTCCGGCGTCGATGGGGTCGCGCAGACGAGGGTTCGGCCGGAGATTGGTGATGATATCCGCGCAGGAGTGCTGGAGTTACCCGACCACGGATCCCATATGTCATCATCGTCGCGGGCTTGGTGGGGCGTGGCCTCGGCTGCCCCTGGTCCGCTCATTCCTCCAGAATCCAGACCTTGCTGTCCGGATTTTGACCCCAGATTGAAATAGGACAGAAAAGAACATATGTGTTTGTTTAGTCCGGTATGAATAGAAACGATCATGCGGCATTGCATCCGTCACGTTCTCGCTAGTTCAATGTTAAGCGCTTCTTTTTTTTTTCTTTTTTGGACTTCCGCTATCAAGGACGCGGCTTTTTGTGACGAAGGAAAAAAAAATCTGAACCCTAACGGATTTGAACCGTTAACCTTGTGGACTGGAATCACACACGCTACCGTTGCGCCAAGGGTCCATGGTGACCAAGCGAAATATTGCGTATGCAACCTGGAGTGGGTGCCGACAGAGACAGAGGAATGTCGGGGGCGGGTCTTCTATCGAATTGTGCATAGTCTCTTTTCGAAGTACTCTGTGACATACGCCTTTTCTGTCTTTCCCTTCGCTGTGGGAGTGCTGGAAGCTCCCTTCGCTTCGGGGGCACTGGAATGTGCTGCATCCGTCAAGATACTATGCTTGTTGTCAGCAGGTAAATTACCATCGGAAATCTCAGCTGTTCGACGGGCATCGAGGCGATGATGTGCATTATTTGAAACCTTGAGTTGGGGGCGGGCAGCCGAGGCCGCGGAGGCATGGCGGTTGTGGGGCGCCGAAATCGAACGCGAGGCTGGCGAGGAGGAGGGCCCACCCGTTGAAGTTCGACGGGCGTTGGACTTCACCTGGGGCGACACTAACAGCGGTGCGTCGGGGGCATCACAGGGAGGCCCGACGCTGGCAGAAGTGGTCAACTTCCGTCGTACTCTAACCACGCGCAGACAGACGCAGGCGGCTCCGGGCGTTAGCAACGGCGGTCGACAACCGGATGGCCGCCTGGACGCGTGGCGAGGCCCGCCGCGTGCTGGA